AAATTCCTCGTATGTGTAAACATACCTGGCAATAAAGCTCATTCTGATTCTGATTCTAACTCGCCAAATGTTCTAGTTGGTCTCGACCGAGTCCAGCTATATATGCTTTTTTTTCTCTTTCAAAACAAAACGGCGCTTTAGCACGGCTCCGGGGATTTCGATATAAGTCAAGAGGAGGCTGGTTTTCCTTTGCTAAAGTAAGGAAACTTTGCTTCCTTTGCTCCTGTTAACAAACGTTGGTTTTCACGAGACTCACCGGCGCATGCGCAGCACTGACCTCATACGTCATCCGCCCGGAGCGGCTTCTGTGTACAACTGTTGGCGCAAGCTACAATAAAGTGATTATTAATTTTTGAATATGGATATTTTTCTTACAAAAACGCATCGATTCACTACAGGAGGCCTTTGATCACCCCCCGGAGCCGTGTATCCTGATCACCCTGTCGGGGTTTATTCTGAGATAACAACCGGCTGGATTTACATTATCCCTTACATACTGTAAGCCATATACTGTATCAATGTGTATCAAAGTGATGGAAACAAAAAGTACCGCTTAAATAAGAGCTTTTCAGGTGCTCAAAGTGTGAAGCCTGGGACTGGCTGTAGGCTGGAATACACTACACTTTTAACAGCTGATCAGACTTTAAAACACTGGGTAAAAATCTGGCCAGAAGTTATGTATTCCCGTCTCTAGGGTCTGGTGCTCTCTAGAGATTACAGACTTTAGCCAGTCACTAATAGCAAAAGATTCAACAGATTTACTCACTAAAAAGGTTTAAAATTATATTTTTGAGTACATTTTCTTCTTTAAAATTGATAGCTTATATATGAAAGGGTATTTATTAATGCGTGGTTCACCTACTATAGATGTACAGTACTGTAAATAACCTATAAGTTTATTACTGTATTCTCACAAAGATGCTTTTTTCAGATAAATAAATAAATGAACTCACTCAGTGTCTTGATCTTCTGCTGTAACTCTTTGACTTCATTTTCTCTCACTCTCAATTTCTTCTCTAGTTCATGTCTGATTGTCTTTTCTGAAGCTCTCATATACGAATTAAGAGAATAGGGTTCAGTCTTCATGCTCTCTATACGATCTAACAGGGCTGAGATCTGTCTGGAGCTTCTCTGGTCCTTTAACCCCATCACACTGTGCCAGCTCCCATACAGACTCACAATCCTCTGAGATTCTGTGGATTTCACAAAATCTCTCACACTTTTGTTAACAGTGAGTTCAGTGATGAAAAGCAACATGAAGTGCTCTTTTGAGTAAAATATTCCTTTTATCTTCTGCATTTCTGCTCTGTCTTCATTAGTAAGTGGAGTGACAGGAGTAACAAGGATGAAAACATGAACTCCAGGATCACAGAGAGACAAACAGAGGTGAGTCTCCCGCATCACTTCCTCCTCTGAGAGCTGAGAGAGAGCTGGAAGCTCTATTACACTGATCTGCCGTCCATCCATCTTCTCCTCTCTCTTCTGACACACTTTACTCATCTCTTTACGTCCCGGTTTACTTGTTATCCCTCTAAGCATTCTAGACACTGAGTTCTTGAGTGTTGGATTATTTCCACACAGGACAATGTTCAGCTTTGTTCTTCCAGTAGTCGTCACTGAAAACATTCATTAGAAACCATAGATTTAGCTCAGATTTGCTACCAAATGTATACTTCATTAAACAACAACCAAACTATTATATTGTAACATATAATTAGATTGCAGTACATTCTTTTATAAACTGAAGGTTTGAGTGAATTTGTTCTCTATGTATGGATCTATAACAACATACATACAGTCCGTCTGCACTCACACAACAGCCTTTAGAGGAATATTTCACCCAAAACTGACAATTATATTATTATCATTTACTCATTTCAAAAGTGGAATCATGATTTTACCATCTAATTTTTTTTTGTCATCAAACAGTTTGAAGAACCACTGATCTACAGCAGGTTCTGTCTCTTTCACACACAAGACATTTAAGCATAAGTGACTTTATCAAAAGCCACACATATGAGAGTAATTCACATTCTCCGGTTTATTTTTAATGTTATAAATTAAAAATTAAAAAATTATTTTCATTTTTGCGTTAACTATACTTTAACCGTTAACACAGTATTACAACACATAAGTGTTTGAGACGTCTTAATATCACTGCCAGTGATTTCATTTACTTACTATCAGGACGAACAAGTTCTGGACTGTGTCTGTCTGCAGCTGCTGGAGAAGACAAATCACACACACACACACACAGAGAGAGAATTATTTTAAAAAGCACACATGCACAGAAAAGCTGTGACTTCACAATGTTTGCAATTACTAATTGAACTGACTGAGTACAGACCAGTGTGCTGATGATACACAGATCAACACTATATTTGATTGCTTTGAAGATAAGAAAAATCATAATTTCATCAATCTACAGTGTGTCAAAATGACACTTCAACACATACTGCAATGATCTATAGCCTACATAAAAAATTTAATAAACAGGCTATTCCCACAAATCAACAAAGTGTAAAGAATCGCAGACTAATAAAATAAACCTCACACGTAGAGGTTAATTTCTTCCTGGTGTTCAATGACACGATTAAACAAATGTAAGAGCGCAGTGAAATATCTTTTAATAAACTTAACGAAGTAAACCACTGTCTTCCGCTTGCTAATGTTTCATAAATACTTCATAAATCATCGAGGAAACGTTGCTGCATGAGTGAGAGAAGTGGCGCCGCGTCATGCCCTATGGTCCCGCCCACACTGCAGCAGAGACGATCGCAAGCACACGCCCCTGGGACCGTTTTTTAATTACCCTGACTGCACCAATTTTTGTCTACCATGCAAGAGGCCTGTTAAAATAAGGTAAATATAACTACTAACCGCAAAAACTCAAAGATCCATCGGACCTGCCAGATCGGTTAGTACAGTTTCCTGCAGAACAACCCATTATGTCGATGTGAAATAAACCGTTATGGAAAATTAGGAAATTAAAGTTATAGCTCCAATCTCCTCCTGAGGATCCCGAAAAAGTCTGTTGGCGCCTCAGAGAAGCTGCCAATCTCAGCTGTCAATCACGACGTCACACTCCCGTTTTTATAGCATCACATAACTAACTAAAACCATGCAGAGACTGAGAAAAAACATATTTCATATTTATTGAAATTACATTTTCTGCGTCCATTTATTTTCCTTCTTTGAACCAGAAATGTAACACGGAAGATGCGGTTTCTTCTTGAATTGTTCTGATGAATACAATAAGCGGATACAAACTCATAGAAATGTATTTTTTAATATAAATAAATGCAGTAGCAGCTCCTGGCCGTTATCACATAACTAACTAAAACCAAACTTATTTTAAAAACGAACACTTGAACTCACATCAGCGTGATCAAATCTATATCAAATGACAAAAAACATGTTTGAAAACAAAATATTTGAAGTGAAATTTAATTATTTAGTTTGTCTCACATCCCATTAGATTACATGGAGAGTGCGGGGTTTATGACCTATACTGGGACCAGCCACCTGGAGGCGATCGAAACACGATGGCTTCACTTTTGAGGACTAGTGAGGCACACTTGGTACACACACAGAACAGTATCTTATAGAGTGGTGGAACTATGACATCACTTTGTAGGCAAAAACCCGGAAGCGAGTTAGCATTTTATGACTTCCGGTTCCATCGTACCAACGTCAATGGGTTTTTTGAATGGGAGTTTGGTTAAATCCCCCAAAATAAGGTCCGTGGTTCACACAGGGTCAAGATACTTTCACGTTTTATTCTGCGACATAAAACACACCAGTTACACCCCACTCGTGATTTCTTAAAAAAGACGGTTGCTAACAAGTTGCTAAATGGGACTACAGGCGCTGTTGGAGAAGTATAACATCATCACACCAAACATTTTATCAATTTACAGTATTTTCGTAGTATAATTTATAGTACAATTAATTGTCGAATAACCAATTAATAGTTTCCCGCATTTTATATTGAATTTATATCTACACAGAAGAAAGCCCTGTCTAGGCTCTGCCATAGAACGGGTTGTGTCGAGCCATTCATTTGTCTGGTTGTTTGATGAGAAAAAGATGAAATGTAGTTGCAATAAAACAGTTTAAGAATCCGTAGCAGCAGTGGAGGACTATTATTCTGCTGCATGATACTGCAGAAGAACTGATGACGGCACGGTTTGATCTTCAGCTGCCCAATCAGCAGAAAGGGGCGTTTAATTCCCGACCACGTGTAGAAATCGAATATTCAAGCTGTTTATTCATTTTTCTACCCCTGAACGAAAAACGAAAAATTAAGCCGACTTTGTGTTTTTCATTTTTTTGCAAATAATGAAAAAACAAAAAAAGAGTCGTTTTTTGTTTAATTTTTCTACTTTCAATATTAAATAAAAAATCTAATGACCAAAAGATACACTGATAATCCATATGAATCAAATTGTTTCATCCAAATCCTCTGAAGCCTTTACCCATTTTAATTTCGATATTTTTATTTAAATTAATTAACCCACATAAGCTGAGCACATCAAAACTAGGAAGCTCTGACGTGCGCACTTGATGCTCCAGAACTATGCTCCTAAATCAGATTTAGTGACGCAAGCACGCCTGAGCCAGCCGTTTTATTTTTCAATAAAGTAAATAGGCTAGTTATTTCAAGTAAATCGTTATTTTAAGTAAATCTTTGGAAACTGATTTATGTTATATTTACAACATGAAATATAGATGATATAAACATAATTGATTTATATGTTCTGCTACTGCAACAGTATTTAAATGCGCACAGGTTGATGATTATGATTAACCCTGAAATAGATCACGTCAAAATATATGTATGGATGTTGATTATAGTTATTATTCAGTATACAAAGAACACGTTGCATGTTTTATTTTGAAATGGGGAAAGTGTAAAATTACAGTAACAGTACAAATGCACACTACAATACTTCATATCTATAATAATAATACTGAGTCATATTAAAATCGAGTTCTTGCAGGACAGATTATTTGCCTGATACACATCACAGGGCTGAAGAAAAGTATTTCACAGGTTTTGTTGAAACCTAAGGTTTTAACATCACAAATAAAACCTGCATAAGTGCACTTAAACGAAGCGTTTGCTCTAGTCTCAGTTACTGTGTGAGGTTACGGGGAATAATCAGGCTGCTGAAATCCAGATGAACACTATTAATACTGTGAGGGTTTAAAGCTTCACGCTCGTCGTCTTCCTCTGGTTTGGCACCCTGATCTCGGGCTGGTCTGGGGTCAGTTGAGCTGCTGCTCAGAGCCCATGTCTGTGTAGATATTACTGACGATATGAGTCAGATCCAGACTCTGAGTCAACATCACCGACAGAACCTCGTCCGCCTGGATGCCCTCGATGAACTCATCCAGAGACAGCTCGCCTGAACACACACACAGACACATATGTACATCACACCGCTTCATTTGCATATTTAAATAGTATAGATACACAGATTACCATCTCCGTTAACGTCGATCTTGTTAAACACCATGTCGGTCAACTCCTCCGCGGAAAACTCCTGCTCTACTCCGTTAATGGCTTCAATGGCCTGGAGCCGAAAAACATCAACAACAAAAGACAAAAGTGAGTTCTGTGGCATAAGACTCACCAGCAGAAGAGAAACACTGATTTAAAGGGACAGTTCACCCAAAAAAGAAACTCCTGTCATCCTTTCTCACTCACAAAGTAGTTCTTCCAAACCTGTAAGAAGATGTTTTGAAGAACGTTGGGAACCAAACGGTTGACAGCAGCCACCATAAGTATGGGAGAGAAAAAAAAATACTATAGAAGCCAATGGGTGCCGTCAGCTGTTTGGCTGCCAACATCAGGACAGTTCACCTAAAAATGAAACTCCTGTCATCCTTTCTCACTCTCAAGTAGTTCTTCCAAACCTGTAAGATGATGTTTTGAAGAACGTTGGGAACCAAACAGTTGACGGCAGCCACCATAAATACGGGAGAAAAAAAAAAATACTATAGAAGCCAATGGGTGCCGTCAGCTGTTTGGCTCCCAACATCATCTTTTGTGTTCAACAGAAGCTCATACAGGTTTAGAACAACTTGAGGGTGAGAAATGATGACGGTTTGCATGTTTGGGTATAGAAGCTAATGCTACCGTCAACTGTTTGATTCCGAACATTCTTCAAATTATCATCTTTTATGTTAAACAGAAGAACGAAGCTCTTACAGGTTTGGAACAACTTGAGGGTGAGAAATGATAACGGTTTTCATTTGTGGGTGAGCTATGCACAGTTTAATGTGGATTCAGTGACACCAGCAGGTGGCGCTCAAGAGAAACACAGACGCCACTGAAGTCATCAGATACCTTGAAGATGAGCAGCAGCTCCTCGCGGTCGATGCAGCCGCTGCCGTCCACGTCGAACAGCTTGAAGTACCAGCGCAGTTTCTGCTGAACGCCACCCTTCAGAACCAAACTCAGAGCCGCCACGTACTCCATGAAATCAATACAGCCGTCCTGACGACAACATGTAATAATTCATAACCAATTACGATACTGCCAACAGTTATGATCTGTTATTGATGCAAGTAAAGTGTCTAAGGCTTCAAATAACTTTTGTGGCAATGTCAAAATATGGGAGAAATAATGTTCCATCGTTATTCAGCATAATATTATGTAAGAATAAAACGACATACTTATTCTGACCTGTACTTATTTATATATGCAAAAGAATAGGTGATCATACTAAATTATTATTATGTTTTAAATGATTAAAAACTTCTTGCTGACAAATGGGTAAAACCTAGTGGCTAGAAGGATAGTCACAAAGATTGGTCAATATTTAAGCGGTCGATGCAGCCGCTGCCGTCCATGTCGAACAGCTTGAAGTACCAGCGCAGTTTCTGCTGAACGCCACCCTTCAGAACCAAACTCAGAGCCGCCACGTACTCCATGAAATCAATGCAGCCGTCCTGACCACAACATGTAATAATACATAACCAATTACGATACTGCAAACAGTTATGATCTGTTATGGATGCAAGTGAAGTGTCTTTCAAAGTTTAAGGCTTCAAATAACTTTTGCAGGATCTGCTGCGTCTTAGTGAAGATCTCTGAGCTTCTGCATCGCTGATGTTTGGCCTGAGTTTACTATATTAACACAGATCTCGTTACCCACAATCCTCAGCTGAACTGAAGTAGAAGGAACGTTTGTTTGTTTGTTTGTTTATGATTTAACGCCGTGCGAGCCACCTCGGCTATATTCATGGCGAGAACGAGGTTAGATAAGTTCAATTAAGTTTTTTTATTTGATCTTAGATTTTAAAAATTCTAAAACTGAATCTGGCCTTTCTTCATTAAAAATCTTTCCATAAAAGTCAACAGAAAAATAAAGAGTTCTGACAGACTTTAAACTATTATAATCCATTAACCCTTCAAGCAGAAGGACGCTGGCCAAAGAGTTCATGAGTTATATTTTTCAATCTATTTATATAGCGTTTTTCACATTACACATCATTTATCTGTTAAGTTTTGTTTGGGATGCATTGAAGAATCAGGTTTATACTTCATAAAATGCCCTAATTTCATGAGAACTGATTATCAACATAACTTTAACCTGATACAAATCCAACTTTAACCTAACAATAACCTCTCTACAACAAAAGATGATATTTTGAAGAATGCTGGTAACCAAACAAATGACGGTACCCATTGACTTCCATAGTATTTTTTCCACACTCAACCACAGTCAATGGCTACCGTCAACCATTTGGTTACTAGCATTCTTCAATAAATCTTTCACTGTGTTGGTAACCAAGCAGTTAACGGTAGCTATTGACTTCTATAGTATGGAGGAAAAATACTGTGGAAGTCAATGGGTACCGTCAACTGTTTGGTTACCAAACATTTAAAGGGATAGTTCACCCAAAATGAAAATTCTGTCATTTACTCATGTTGTTCCAAACTTGTTGAACACAAAAGAAGATATATTTTGAATCATGTTGGTAGCCAAATATTTTTGACGGTACCCATTGACTTCCATAGTTTTTTTTTTCACACTACGCAAGTCAATGGCTATACCATCAACCATTTGGATACAAGCATTCTTCACTAAATCTTCCATTGCGTTGGTAACCAAGCAGTTGATGGTAGCCTTTGACTTCTATAGTATGGAGAAAAATACTATAGAAGTCAATGGGTACCGTCAACTGTTTGTTTACCAACATTCTTCAAAATATCTTCTTTTGTGCTGGTTTGGAACGACATGAGGGTGAGTAAAGTGAGAATGAGGATGCACAAATATGCACAAGTATAATAGTAACATTTAGTAAAACAGTAAATAATAAGTAGAAAAATAACAGACTGTCTTACGTCGTTAATGTCGAACGTCTTGAACATGGTCTTGACGTACTCGTTGGATGTTTCGGACAGATTCTTCAGGCCGAAGAACTTCTTGAACTCGTAGAAGGTGAGCTGACCGGACGGACACTCGGTCATGAACTTGCGGTACCACTGATGGGAATGACATGCGCTCAGCTCCTTCACTGACATGCTGGAGGAGTTTCCCATGATGCTTCAGCAGAGATCTGTCACCGCTTGCCCTCGCCGGCACACACTGGCACACGGGCTCGGCTCAGTCTGCAGGACAGGGCGAGGAGGAGGGTGTCCCGTCCAATTACGGCTGACGTCACTCCCTGCTGTTCTTTTCCGCTCTGGAAAATACAGCGAATTACCTCCTGATTACAGAGAATCCTAAATACAGTGTGTCAGCACGCCCCTCTGACCTGAGATCATGACCTCTGTCTGTCAGTCAAACAGCAGTCTGATGCTAGTGCATGGATCCCAATTGATTCATTTTTGTAAACAAATTCACAAACAATAAACTATCTATCTATCTATCTATCTATCTAACTATCTATCTATCTATCTATCTGTCTGTCGGTCATCTATCTATCTGTCTATCTATCTGTCTATCTGTTTGTCTGTCTGTCTATCTTTCTATCTATCTATCTAACTATCTGTCTGTCTGTCTGTCTATCTGTCTGTCTGTCTGT